AATAATGTAACAAAAAATGCGGGGAGAATGAATGAGAATCTGTCCCACCCCTACTGCGCGCCGTGGCGATGTGCGGCCGCCGCCCCCTCCAGAAAGAGGACCTGAAGGGAGGAGAATCAGATCGGATCAGTGGCGCCGCCGCCGTGTCACCTGAGGGCCGTCATTACAGCGGGAGCGAGAGAGACGGCAGCGGCCGGGGCCCCCGTGGGGAAGAGAGGGACGGAAAACGAGTCTAATACACACGAGGCGTACGGTGAGGCGCGCCTGCCTACCGCCTCGCGCTCTAGTCCCCGAAGAAAAGGAAAGCTGTGGAAACCACGGTAAAATGGCTAACTCGATCACAAGAGCAGGCATGAAATGACGGCTGATAGCTGCGGCAGTGAAATAGTAGAGAGAATTAAACTTGAAAATGTAAAAAAATAAATGTTTAACGGTTCTACGTTACGCAAGGTATGTTTTTAAGTTACGATTTAAAAACAATTTATGTTAACACTTTTGTATCGACTGTATTGGGATTCCTCGACGAGCAATGGTCTGCCATAAATCGATCGTAAATTTAATACATCGTGTGTAAATCGAAAAGTACAAAAACATCATGTAAATGAAGAAATATATTTGTCACAATGTGTGCAGCTCTTGTCGACTTGCAGATCACTCAGCACTCCATTTCGCTTGGTGTTACTTAGCCGCGATTCACACTGTTAAAAATTTTGTTGTAAATTTACAACACATTTGATGTAAAGTTTGATAGCAACAAATGTTGTTAAAAAACAACACATGTTGTAATCCAACAACATTCACCAAATTTCCTGAAACGAATTTTCATTCCAAAACAGTGGTCATTTACTTTCGTCTGCACCAAAAAAATTGTAATAAAACAAACTTGTTTGTTCTGTAACGATACATCTTGCTATCAAACTTTACAAAGATATTGTTGTGGTTTTACAACATGGTGAAACGTGGGAATCATTGTTATGGACCACTGCGGGCAAAATAGAAGGAATTTTTGCCACGTGCCAATAAAAACGAACGATGTTGTTTTTTTAACACACTAGTCATTACAAAGGGTGTGATAAATTTACAATTTTTTTGTAACAGTGCACTTCCAAAGAGAAAGGAGAAAGTACATCGCCGGTGCAAGTACGGCGCAGCAGCAGCAGCGTATACCGGGTGTGGATTACTTCCACTCGAAGTCGCCGCACCCCACCCGACCCGGCCGCCGGCCGCGAGAGTCTATGATAATGCCTCACTCATAAATGTGAGATTAAGTTGGAAAGTTTTTGCCCTCCTCCCATGAAGGTCCGCCGACTGGCCAGCGCAAAGCGCGCAGAGCAGGAGCAGGGGAGTGCAGCAGACCCACGACGACGACGCGCAGTTCAGCTACTTTTGTCCCGGCGGTGCGGTGGTGTGCTCCTCCCGGTGCCCTTCCGCGATAACAATTGCACACTCTGCACGGCGAGCACGGATTCCGAGGGGAGGGGACGAGGATGAGGATGAGACTCCATTCATTCTGCTCGTCTCATTCACTGCCTCGGCAGTACACAACAGCAGCACCGGCCTGACTTTGGCACGGGGTGACGAGAGGGGGGAGCAGCGGCGCTCGCTGGTCCGTGCAAGGAGCAGCACACCTAATAGTGCCTTCGCGAACTACCTCGCAGCTCGGGCCTCGCATGGCCACCTCTGCCTTTGCACCTAACATAAATCAGATCCTCGCCCCGCCCCGCCCCGTCCCTTTTCACTGCGCGCCGGTCTGCTCGGCTGCCGGAGGAACATCCTCATCCTAGTTCACATTCAAAGCGACTCCGGATCGTGTATTACCTGAGAATATGCAGGCCGCAGCGGGGCGAGGCGAGGCGGGGCGTGGCGGGGCGTGGCGGGGCGTGGCGGGGCGTGGCGGGGCGTGGCGAGGGAGCGCGGCTCGGTACTGCTATATGACGCGAGATCTCCCGGAGAAAGGGCCGAGACGGTGTGCGCTGCATATGCCGAGCAGCAGCAGCAGAGGGGGTCTTTTGCCGACTGGAAGGCGAGGAGAACCCCATCCGCCCCGTGCGCCCGCTCGGGTTGCGAGAGGTCGCGAGAGGTACTACCTCCTCGGAGGAGATTTGGTGCTGGGAATAATCATGGGAATAAATATAGCGCGTTGACGCTTAGTCGGACCGCTTGCACCAGAGACACGGCGACAAAAGTGTGTTTGCTTAATCCCGCCACGGTGGTGGTGGAGGTGGTGATGGTAGTCACCGTGGGTGCACACGGCAGCAACTCCCCCCATTAACCCCGTATAGCGATGAAATAAATCACCAGATTCGGATGAATGAAAAACTCGTCCAGCAGCAGACCGTCCGTATGCTCGTGTACAGTCCACACACGCACACAGACACACACCTGGCGAGTCTCGGACTCTGTCTTTTTTCCCCCGACACAGACGGCAGCAAGCATCCCTGGTATCCCTATGGCTGGCTCGTATAGCAGTTGCTGCACACCACGCCACGCCCCGCGCCCGCCACGCTCGCTCACCCCACGCCCACAGCCACGCTCGCCCCGCGGCGCCGCAAGTGCACGTATAAATGATCTAGAGCCCCCGGCGCGCGCAGCTCACCTCGGGATGTATCCATTACGAGCGCGGCCATTCCAACCGACCTAAAAAACCGAAACCCGCCGCGCACTCGCCACACGAGCCCGCCGCACCCGGCAGCGCCAGCCAGACCCGCGCCGCGCGGCCCAAACTCGTTCCGTTCCGTTTTATATTTTTCCGTTTACAGCGTTTTTCACCCATGCCGCTGGCGTTGCCCAAGCTCTAAGATTGCGCCCTCGCGGAAGGGTTTCGCGGGCCCCGCCCGTTCTCTGTTTGTCCCGCGCATCGCAGCGGTGTAATGTTGTTGCACGGGGTAAAAAAATCGGCTGATGCCGGAAGGCGAGGCGAAAGCAATATTATTCAAGTGAGTGTGTGTGTTTTTGGACAATTACTCGCCGTATGGAAGTGCGCGGGCAGATGCACGAGTCGTCTTGTCCGTAACTCCACGGGTTTCGTTCTCCCCCGCCTTTTCTCATTTTCTCTCGTTTTCTCCCATGCGTACCGTTTTGTTATTTTTGTTGGTGTTGTTGTTTTTTGGCCCGTGCAGAAGTTTCATCATAACCGCGAAGGAAACATCAAACAAGGACATTCCGCCTGGCGCGAGACATGGGCCGAGCAGCAGTATTTTCTTTTTTTAAAGGCAAAATAACACACACACAAAAAAAGGTAGAGAGCGGCATAAAAGGGCAAAGACCCCCGTGCTGTGTGGGTTGCCTACCTTTACAGCGCTCGTCATGTCCCCGCAGCCCGGCAATAAGACAAACGCACACGAGGCGCAACGACGGCACCACAAAAAAGCACCAGTTATTCCGCGGAAAGAAAAGATGAAAAAAACAAAAAAAACGGCCGGAA